AATAATAATAATAATAATAATAATAATAATAATAATAATAATAATAATAATAATAATAATAATAATGATAGTAATAATAATATTAATAGTAATAATAATAATAATAGTAGTAGTAGTAGTAGTAATAATGTTGATGATGATAATGATAATAATAATAATAATAATAAAAATAGTAGTAGTAGTAGCAGTAGTAGTTATGATGATGATGATAATACTAATAATAATAGTAATAATAGTAATAATAATAATGAGGATGAGGAGGAGTAAAAAATCCCAACCAATGAGTAAAGCGTTAAAAGTGATATTGAATGCATTTCTATGCATGTATGCATTTCTATTACTACTCGAGCAATAGATTTGCTTAAAAAATCTAATTCTTGGTAAATGCTAACAAAACAAATGGGTGAATGCTAAATCAAACATAATAATAAGGCTCCTCCTCCTCCTCCTTCGAAACTCAGTTCTTCGACATACATAATATGTATCTGTTTCTATCTACTGTTGCGGAGACTTTCATTGCACATGAGAATGCATAATGAAAATATTGGTAGGTCGACGGCTGATTCGCGTTGTACTGCAGTCGTTTGGCTGTAATACAACGTTGAAAATGACAGTCCAAGAGGCATCCTCCCTTATTTCTATCTGTATGGTATTTGCCGCCCTTCCTCCCTCTATGGCTAGAAATAGGAAAAATGCGACAGCAAATTGGCATCTAAAAAAAGTTAGATGACGGAACTATCCAGCGGACAGATGGAGAAAGTGGGTAAAAAATAGACAAATATGATCCCACCGGATCCATGCCAGATTATGTGGGGGAAAGAAGAGGCGTTTACAAGTAAGGCAATCAAAATTTTCGCCAACCTGATAAGCAAGAAGCCCAAGAAGCTGTCCAGCTCTGACTGAAGTGTGTCGATCCTTGTCGTCAAGGGCATGAATAAGACCCTTAAAAGTTGGAAGATAAAAAAAAGGTAAGAAAACACGTCTGAATGCAGGACTGAGAAATGGGTGACTTTGGCCAAGTGATAATTTGCACGAGGAAACGCCCGTTCGTGATTATCAATTCACTGAAAAAGACAAATTTATGCGTCCCATTTCTTTCAAACGTCTAAAATGTTGTCTGTGCTCATCCCGATTGGGGCTAA